GTCGCGCTTACCACGTTAACACCCTCCCCGGACAAGTAGTGCCCGCGGAGCTGCGAGTTTCGCGCTCGTAATTAGGGAAACGGCCAACTCAGCGGGAGCTTCCTTGATTTCAACGAAATTCTTAAATTACTTGGATTAAGTTTGCGAAGATATTATTGAACGGGTTATATTCCGGTGGTATAAATAAAATAAAAGTGCGGATTATACGAAAAGTTAATGCAGTCACCTGAACCTGATTTCATTTGCCGTATACTGATGAACTCACTTTTGAAACTTGCTTTAATCCGTTTTAGCGTAAAGTCGGGCATTCGTGTCAGAGTAACGCGTGTTTGGCAAGATAAACTTTCATCGCGTTTTCTCTTATAATTTATAACGTATTATAGTCAAAGCAATTTCACGCTATCAAAATGCTGCAATCGACATTTCCAATACGTAGTTTGGAATTTGGCATCGAGACTCGATTTAACTGTTGAAGAATATCCGTTGTTTTGTAATGATAGAAGGGAATTATTCGAGGGCTGTCGGATCGTTTGTATTCCGGCCGGATCGCTGGATTTTCCGATTGAGAAGCAACCTGCTACTGGCAACTCTCGAAGCTGAGATTCTTTTCCTCGTCTATTTCCCAACGGTCACGCGGTAATAGCAGGTGTCACTTTTTTTTCCTCTGCCGGCGTATCTCGCTGCTCTTTCGTTGATTCTCGCCGCGTGCGAGGACGTATCGACTTTCGCCATGATCAAATCGCTCATTAAACTAGTTATCTATACGTGAATCTCTTTATTAAAATGCTTTTCTATTGGTCCCTGTATGTTTCACACGCTGATACACTTCAGATCGCTAATGATTCGGATGGGAACGTCACAGATTTCATGAAATAAACCGAAGAATAAACCATTGTTATCTACATCTTTCATTTCAAAGTTCGTAAAATTTTTCTATAATTCAGGAAAAGAATTGAGACGTCAAGAAGAAGCTATTATTTCCCTGCAAGATATTGCCTTCTTCCATATGAAAATTGATTCGCTTAGAAAAGTTCCAGCAATTTCGCGGTTTAAACGACACACTTTTAAGGTACGACAAATTACTTAATGCCAAGTCATAGTTCCACAAGGCCGCCCAACGATGTCTCCTAATCCCGATTTGAAAGCCAAAAGATCTGGCCGTTCAATTACGTTTATTCACCGGGCGCGTTACGGTGAGCACAGGAGAGTCGCGCAGGGAGAATTTCGTGTACGACAAATTGTTCGGCTAATGATCCGATCGTTCATTTAATTGTCACGGCCTGGTACACTCGCAGCGATTGTACGCGAAATTGTTTCTCGTGTGTCCGCAATTGAACGATCCGCCGCGAAACATAGGAGGAACATAATATCGGGGTGGAGGGGAGGGGAAGCCTTTCGACAAACGACCAGCGCGATAGTCCGCGGTTAGCATTTACACCGGTGTTTGTGACTCCGGCCGAATAATCCCGGAACCCGTTATAGTCAGACATAGTCCGAAATAGTCAGATAACCGGCTAAACTAAACCTGAAACTGTCGGCCGATATCCGACTAACTCGGCTGCAATATCGATTGCGCCGATTAAATAATTCACATTCCGCATTTGAAAATTTACTCCTTCAAGTGTTAAATAATGCAGTTATTAGAATCAATTAGCCGGCATTAACTAATTTATTAACTAAGCTTCATTATGTATAGATTATAACAGAATTCCGGTTGGATATCTTAAAGTATTAAATGTAACTCTTGTAGGTAGAATCTTATAGCTGACAATGAGAGTAATGCGGAAACGGTATATTCATTTGAATTTCTTGTCGAAAATTGTGCAGCTGAGAGGGAAGACGTTATCAATATTGTCACTTCCAGCGGTATTGATCTTTCCTCTACAATTGCTTTGTATAGATCTACAGAAGAGACCCGGCGGTTTAACAGCATTGTGGCGGAAATGTACATTTTACAAGAGAGAAAGCGAGGGAGAGAGGAGGGGGGGGAGGAGCGTGTTTAAACGCGTCGAGTACTAAAGGCGAAACTGCTCTCCAGCGGTGAAGCCCGGTGGTTTTCGCTCACCGCGCTCGTTTCCATTCGGCTGAAATTTATCGTCGCGATTTCGACGGCTCACGGCCGTGAAAAGGGCGTGAATGCGATCGTTGTCGAAGCGTTCGCCCCGAAGGGAGAGGGATGGAGACGCCTTCGGGAATGCAACAAGTCCGCGAGATGCCTTCTTCTTCTTCGTCCTCTCGTTATCCTTTTGTGTCGTTGGAACTTGGCCAATGATGACCCCCTCGACGACCACTCACGTTTCACCTCTATCTGCCTTCTTCTCCGGTTCCTCAATGCGCATTCTTGTCTCCGAGCTTTTCTTGATAGCGCTTGATTACCAGCTCGACGCTCGCGATAATTAATTGCATCTCTCGCGAGATCTATTAGGTGCTTAGACTTCATCGAGCGACGCTCTTCAATTAATAGAAGCTGAAGATAGAGGTGCATAGCAATTTTTATCTATGACGAGGAAAAGATATTAATAAAGACAAAATTATTTATATAATAGAGATATAGCTATGCTTTATATTAATGGCGCGAATATTTCGAATGCCCTTGATATTTTATGCTCGAATCTGAAGTGCATAAAAAATTAGAGGTGTATGGCAATTTTTATCTATGCCGAGAAAAAAATATTAATAAAGACAAAGCTATTTATGAGTAGCTATTCTTTATATTAATGGCGTGACATATTTTGAATATGTCCTTGATATTTTATGCTCGAATCTGAAGTGCATGAAACATTTGAGGATTTATTTAAGTATTCTCTTCGAAATAAAGCTTTTTGCTTAAGAAGCGAATTCCTTGCATTCTTGTGGATTATTCTCGGTTGTGGCGCGCTAATGGCAATTAGAAATCCTCGCGTTTGGCAACGCGTCATTAAGTGGCACGGCTTACCGAAAGCCGCTTACATGCGTGGCGCGGCTTTGGAAAGGTGTTCGCTTCACTGCTTCCAGCCGCATCGTGATTGCAGATTTCAGAGGGCTTCGTTCGTGCTTTCGGTTGCACCGTAATGATCAGCCATCTAAATTCGCGAAGCGTTCGATTTCGATCGTATCCTCCGCAAGTCTCCTCGGCGCTTTCTTCACGATGCATCTTGCATTCGTGAAGAAATCGACTTGCAAAATTCTGCTCTCACTGCTGCGATATAAAACCAGTTTTAATTCAACTTATTGTAGTCAATATGTCTCCTAATAATCTTTCCTGAATAATTCCGACATTTTTCTACGACATCGAATTAATTTTAATAACTTATTAATATAGCATTAATGCCTAAAATTACAGACGGAAAGTGTTTGCCGTTAATTTTGATGTAAATGTTTGCACAGTTATTATTGCACATGATTTGACGATGCGCATATAAAATTTCCGCTCGTTTTCTCATGTCTCTTTTAATAATGCCGAGAACGCCACCTAGAGATACTTGAAATGTCGATTACTTATTATTTGAATTAAATTGTTTAATTAACCTAATTAATTAACATAATAATACTTTAGTCGGGTTCAAATTACTCGAATCTTATAGTCAATACGATACACCTAAAGTTACATCGAGTTTCCCATCGAACCTGACGACGGAGTCAAGTTGTTAACAACTCGTGGCGAGCACTATCGACTCCTCGTTCGAGATCGAGGGCTAAGTCGCGCTTGACCCGGGTTCAGTTTACCACACAGCTGCTTTCGCTGGGCGGCACCATTCGACATTCGCAATTCGCGAGAGCGATATTATATCATCGACCTATCCCAATGTACGGGAGTCACGTATCAGTCCGAACACGGGGGAATCATCTATTATTCCGCACGAAGGATTCCGCAGTCGTTTACGTGAGTTAGCGTTCCTGGGAATTACACGGACTCCGTGGAGCGTCAATGATTGCCGTTAGAGAATGCCATTTTAATTTTGTAAAGCGACGCGAGTGTAATCTGAACTTAATGCTTGTCGTTCGCACGTAACTAGCTGCATCGTGCACGTGATGAAATTATCCCTCAACGAGGATGATCAAAGACGCGACAAGTACATGCACATGGGTGTCCTACGAATATCAAATCTGTCACTAAAATCTGCTAAAAGCTGCTAAAGTATTATGAAATTTGTCTTTATTTTGACAATATTCGCCTCGAACGAAGCATTAAGAAGTGCAAAAAAGATTTAAGATGTAACAATAAAAATATTACTTGAATCTCTTTAACCCTCTCGATAGAAAGTGCCTCAATTGAAAAGTCGCGAGAAAATCTGCAAGAGCACCGAGATTTTATAAACGCGTCCCCTCCCCGTTCACCTTCCTGATTTCGTAGTCCGGAGAAATAGCATTTTACTTATCCCCGAGGTTACTTCTAATGCGTTGCTGCGAAAGAAATACGAGTCTACGTGTTTCCGGGCGTCTCTCTGTTTCGCAATTTTAGTGATTCGTGCCGCGACTCCGAAGACGACGACGTCGCGCGCAAAGTCGCGCCCGCGAAACTTCTGACTAGCGGAAAAGCGACATCAGTCGATATCACTGTAGCGTGTAAAGAACTTTCGGCACCCTCTCCACATAATGATAAACGTGCGATGAGAATCGCGAGTTAACCGTCGTGTCGCAAGCGGGCTCGTTAATGTTTCACGTCTCGCGTCGACGAAACTTTTGATCTCGTCGCGATTTATTTGTTTCACTTTGACACGCTCAGTCGACAGTTACGCGAAAATTGTAAACGAACAAATCCGAACCTTCATGCAGCTGAAGCCGTTGTTCTCAACCGTTTGTAATTATATTTGAAATAAAATCAAATTCACTTGAAGTATATAAAATCTAATTCAAGACGTATTTAAATGCTATAGAAACTAGAAAATATATAAATATAGACAAATATTATAGATAAAGTACAAATTTTAATTATTAAATCTTGCGCGCGCGATCACCTTTCATCATTATACCTCTTCCAATTTATAATATTATTTCACATTCCTGTTGTCTGTTCGCAGGCAAAATTCCGCGTGATGGTGGAGGAGAACGCAGCGACCGGCGCCCGGCTGGACGGCGAGCTGGAACGCGCTAGGGGCGAGTGCGCCACTCTTCGGGGTGAATTACGCGACGTTCGTGGCGCTTTGCCGATCGTACTGAATAACAACAACGCCGGCAATGGCGGCTCTAACAGCAACAACAATTCCGGTACGGCGACCGGCGGCGTTCCCGGCAACGCGAACCCCGGCCAGGAAGCCGAGGCGCAGCAACAGGCGCAACAGGAAGATGGCAAGCGGCTTAGCGCCGGCAGCAGCCCCGTCGAGAAGAGAAGCTCGGCCAGCGATAAATCCGCCAGTCCCATCGACAAGCGGTCCAGCCCGGTGGAAAGGAAAGATAGAACCAGCCCCGTCGATCGGCGAGCCAGTCCCGTAGGTCTGTGACAAAAGAAATCATTGTCTTTTTTTTTATATTTAATTATCTTCTTTGTTAATCTTTATTGCGTACAACCCCACTTAAAAATCGGAATATTTGAACAAGCAAATTTACCGAGAGCAAACATCCAGCTCAAGGCTCAAAGCGCGATTTGTAACATAAGAAGCTGTTTGCTCTAAATAAAAAGATAGATATATTTTCGTACAAAACCTTCGTTGAAAGAGGGAACGAAATATCGGAGGGGAAGGGGGGGGGGTAGGAAGGCTTCACGGGTTGAATGTTGAAAGTTTATTTCGCGAAAGTATTTTCATAAAGACAGCACGGCAACGGAAATGCGCTTAAGCTGGGCAGAAAGTTATCGACTTCGCGCGGGCGCTTCGGCGGATAAGACTTTTTAAGAAGTTCACGAGAATGAAATTTTAAGAAGACGCGGCGCGCGCGCGCGCGAATGTTTTTCGCATTTCCACGTTTATCTTAACTTCTCTGACGAGTTATCCTGTATATTTCACAGTTATGTGCTGTTACTTTTATGGCCGGCCATGATTCATAGTTTTCTCCGCGGCTTGAAGCCAGGATTGCCGCTTTTAAGCTACTTATTGCAACTCATAAGAGCCGAGTTCTTCACTACGAACGTAGCGGTCGTTATATTTCGTGGAATACAAGAGTCCGCACCATTTCACCTTTTCGTATTTATTCACGATTTTCCTTTCTTTTTAACACGCTCGGTTCATTCGTGCACTGAATATCATACAGATGTTAAAAAAGTTTCATCGCAGAGAGCTAATATTTTCAAAAATATATTCCCTACCAAGAGAATATATTTGTATATATAAATCTCAAAAGTTTGAATTACATGGCGCTAAATATATAATGTACGCAATATGTATATTTTGAACGCAAGAATCGTGTTAACAGGTTCATGAGGGACCTATTTACTGAAGATCAAAGATACGGAGTGCATATTATGCAACTCTCGTCCACTGTCTGGCTTTCTCCCTCGCTCCCTCTCTCTCTCTCTCTCTCTCTCTCTCTCTCTCTTTCTCTCTGTCTCTCTTGCGCCTTCCCTCCCTTTCCTCTCTTCCTCGAATATGCCAGACCCGCTTAAGGGAGAGTGGACCCGCGTGTGTGCATGCAAATTCGGGACGAATGCATTTGGGGCACCCATCGTATCAGATCGATCGATCATGCGCTTCGCGTGGAGGTATTCATCGTCGAGATCGCCGGTCGGATCCACCTTATCGAGCACACTGCATCCGTCTCGGGTCGAACGCACATTCCAATAAAGGCTGGCTTCATTCCAGCGATTTCTCCGTACGCCAATATAAGTCGTTCTCCGTTTGCTGCTATACTCCTCCCCTCGTCCTAACTCACCGCATTCGAGTTCTCGGCGACCATTCCCGAGAGTCGAGTTTCGTATGAGCGTGTTCATCGAGAATTATGCTGCATCATTTAGTGCGAATGATACGGCTTTTAAATAGATACTATTAAATTACGTCGTGTTAAAGTTACTGCACGTTGAATTTACTTAGCTTAAGATTTAAATTACATACGATAAGCAAATGTATGCAAATAGAGCATCTGTAATGTTACTACAACTCGACTAGCTAATTGAATAAAACTTGCCGAATATAGAAATGTTAGTTTAAATGATTATGATACGGTTTATGTTATTACTTATCAATTTGATAATTATGTTCTGGATAAATATATATTTTGAATAACGATCAAATTTCCGGCAGTTACAATTATTCTAATTAAAATAAATTTTAAACACAAGCACATAAATTTAAAAAATGGAGAAAATGTTTCTCTATTATAGAAGAATATTATTTATTTTAATATCTATATGTATATTTATACATATTTCAGTTTCTTTTTTTTTACATTTTAAAGCGTTCTCTCTTTCTCTGTCACTCAAAAAAGCTTGAAAAGTTATTCTATTAATCGTCATTAGAACGAAGAAATGGCTCGCCCTGCCGAAGCCCAAGCGAGAAAGCTCGCCGACCGTACGCCCCGGCTTTGGAGAAGACGCGGCTGGGCGGATCCGGGGGCAGTGTGGATTCTCGATCGGGCAGCGCCAGCCCGGATCGGGGATCGACGAACCGGAGCGGCTTTCTGCATCGCGGTGGCAGCGACCGTTCTAGCGCGGAGCGGCTTCGGATATCGGCTAACCGCGACTCCCTGCGATCCAGTAAAGAGATGAATGACCACGACCAGAAGGACGCCGATAAGGATTTAGTGGACGGCGATGCGCGAGGCGACGAGGACAATGAACCCCCCGGACCGGCACCAGGCAGCAGACCGTCATCCCCTGTTAATGCCCTCGGTGCGTTAATAAACCCGGCATTTAATTATGAACGATCGATCGATTCATCTTCTTTCCCAATCTGCCCTTCTAAGCAGAAACACATCTCAGTTATTTCGATAGTGAATTATTCACTGTGCCGAGAGAATGCGATGGATCTTGATATATCATTTCAATGTACATATACACGTATGTATATGATCCAAATAAATATAAAAAATATAAGCCACGTGTGAGTTGTAACTTCGTAAATTAATAATATTGCCAAAGTCGCGCAAATAACTCACATTTAAAAAATAATACAAAATTATTTTGACGTGTTTAATCGTAAAGATGCGAGTGTACTCTTATATTCTTATATTTGTATTTTATACATATGTATGTGTATATGTGTAAATTTATATTTTATTATAAATTCATTGTACATCTAACAGAATTTCTAATAGTCCGACAATAATCGGCGCGCAGTTAATAGAACTAAAAATATTTTTAAAATTTATATATAGAAATGTTATTACATCAAGATTCAACCTCAATCGTATTTGGCGATTCTATACTTATTTGCAGCAGAATTTAATTTTATTTAAATTAAATTCGTATTAATAATAGAATAAGTTCATGAGCTGACTTTACTTTTGAATGACTTTCTGTTTTTCCGATACAGCAATCGGCGATCCAGTGGTGGCGTCTAGACTGTCCAACATTCACGGCGGCGGCGGCGGACACGCGGAACTAGCCAGCGCCAGGAGATTGCGACTGGAGAACGAACGGCTGGTGGCTGAAGTCGCGAGATTGAGGAGGTTGTTGCTGAGCGGCGCGGCGCGTGGCGAGGTTGGCGCCGAGGACGCCGCGATGGAGGAAGAGGCGCGCTTTGTCGCCCTGGAAATGGAATTGCAGCACGCGAAGGAGGCACTCCAGGCGTTGAAGACCGATCGGAAGCGGCTCAAAGCGGAGAAGTTCGATCTTCTCAATCAGATGAAGGCGCTTTACGGCACCCTCGAGGACAAAGAGCGCGAACTCCGCGATTTTATCCGAAATTACGAACAGGTGAGTCAGTGGATGATCAAATTTTCGTAGCATTCTCTTTGCATGTCCTTAAACATTTTTTTTTTT